GCAATATCCTTTTGGGTCAGCGTATCCAGAGAAAATTTACTACTGTCAATAGCCGTTCTTATGACTTTGGCAGGTTTCTCAACTAGATCCTCTGCTGCACGTTTTTTCGCAATTGAATTTACTACAACAAACATACTTAATAGTGGAGACAAAACACGACAAAATAAATAGGCAGTGTAATTACAAAATGCAGAAAACTTACCTATTAGACGATTTATCGTTCTCTCGGAGCTGTCATGGTTGTGATGTAGTTCACTTTTTGATACGATTTTTTCATCTCCACTGCCAACAGTCCAAATTTTCGCGCTGCAAGTTCGATTGTGTCATACACCAAAAGAACTTTTTTGCGGATACTAGTCATAGTTTGGACATCTATTTTCAGAAAAAAAGTGATCTTTACCGTATCGCAAACAAAACGCAACTGATTTTATCAAAAACCGATAAACGATGTTTAACATTCCATCCCTTTAGATTATCTAATTAGTCTTGTTGAGATAGATCTATAAAAATCTTATTATTAGATATGTAGTTATATTCATAGATATATAACCAAGACAGATAGGATTATTTACAAAATTTTTGAAGAATGAACGATGGTGTCCGCGGTAGAAACTCAATAATCGGATTGAACATTGATGCCAAGTTTACGTGCTTTTAACTATAGATATATATCACCAATACAGATTACACAATTTCTGAAGTCAACGCGGATGATCCTCGACAGAAATGCAATATTTGGATAAAATTAAAATATTGATGCCAAGTTTGCGATGTTTTTAACTGTAGTAATGTTATTGCGTTTGCTTGAATTACTGTTAGATCTTTAAATTGTCCAAAAAAAAAAATAATGTCTGACAACAGCGGAAGTAGAGTTGACTGCAATTGTGGAAGGTCGTATATTGTTTCATTCATAAAAATTCCTTCGATACAGTACTAGTCCAGGAGCCAGTGAATTTTTTCGTACTTGTTTTCCCGGTAGGTGTATATTTAAATAATCTATTCCCGGTGAACTATATATTTAAAATGGAATGCCAATCTATTAACAAAAGTAAGCCAGATTGAATTCGCGCATTACGTCACATCGATACAAGTGAGATTGTTTACAAAGTGCCTTTGCAGGCCTATTTTGCCCATTTCATGTATTTGTTTTTAAATCATGTTAAATTACTATTTTTGAAACTCAACAAGGAGAAAATCCAATTAACTCTTCCGTTGTGTATATATATATATATATATATATATATATATATATATATATATATATATATATATATAAGATAAATTAACTGAAGTTTTATTAGTAAAGTATTAATACTAAAATTTTAATGTAATTTACAGAAAATAGCTAGGTATGTATTTGTTTTTAAATAATTTGATAATTTATGAAAAAAGGGAGTAAAAGTGGAATGACCCGAGGCCAGTAGGTCAGTCAATACAAAGTATCATTTCTATTATAACATAACTAAAATACCTACATCTTTTAATCATAAGGACATAAGTTAAAAACCATTTTAATATATGCATTAGAATGAAGTAATAATAACTTAAAGAGACGAGGTCTTAAAGTAATAGCTGGTACAGCATGTTTTTTAAACGTTTCCTCATTGCTGCTAGAATGAAATCACTTACTATGAAATGTGCTCTAAAAACGGCATTTATAGCAGTCCGTGTTCAGTCTTAGGATCTCTTCCTAACGCCCTCATCCAAGCTGCATACATATTAAAAAATAATTAAAAAAAAAAAACATATTATATACCTATATAGTTTTCGGTTCTAGGTGCCCTAAAAGAGGACACTTAGCCGACAATTTGGCTCAGATAGCTAAAACCCAAAAGCCACACCCCGAACTAGGACGTATTGCTATCCTTTTAAGTAAAAACTAACTACAAATAACTTACCTGAAAAATTAAGGCGTCTAACTTTACACCAAAAAACCATACACTTTTTCCCATTGTTGCAAGCACCCGATGACGATTAGGTAGATATCAACTAGAAGCATGTACTTAATGGTTATAAAGCTTATTTTAACACAAAAAGAATAAAGTACTAGTCGAAAAGCATCAATCAAATATAAATAGACCACAATATTAAAATTCAAATTAAAAACTATATAAAAGACAAATACTCTAAAAGCGCAAAATATCAGAACCAAATAAAATGAATAACCATAATAACTTAAAAATCACACTAAAATTGCAAAAACTATTACTGTAAAATCATGAGATTACATCAATAATGCATATGCGTCGGAGTATCGCAAATGTCAAAAGTACAGTGTTTCCATGAAAATTAAGCTATGTTTTTAGCAGTATTATAGGACCATTTCTACCACGCGCATCCAACGATATTGGCGTTCTACAGTTCACTGTATTTTCCTCACACCTCTAGTATAAAGGATTTGACATAACGAAACTAACAATAATTATAATTAATGTAGAGTAATAAGTGATTCGTGAATTCTAAATAAAACAATTATTATATAAAAGTGTAAAAGGAAATGTAATTTATTTCCCTATTTTCTTCTGTAATATCTTCAATTATTATGTTTAATTTCTATAAATAAACCAACTGGTTAGGTGAAACATTGTTATATAAGATTTTATTTATGTGTCCTATGCGTACACTTTAATATACAAAACACCTGGAACATTCTTTAAATAATTGTGGTCGTAGAAATAATTGTGTACATTACTCGTTTGAAAGTGTATTTTATGCACTTGCCAAATATATTATCCATACAGATTAATCAGACTATTTTTTTACTTAACTTCAGTACATCTCTTACTACTAAAACTATTTTTATCAATGGAAAAAAAGGGCCGTGTTCTCGTATGTTTTGACGCATTTTCGGCCTCAGCCCATCGGATCCCCCCTCTAAATATATATGAATTTTGCTTAGAATTGCTAATCCTACATTTCTCTATTCGTGCTTGCTGACTGGGAAAATAAATACCGAAAATCGTCACTGTCTCCTGGACTATACAATAGATGATGATGAGAACTTCACAACAAATACACTTTTATGAATGGCTAGTTGGGGATGTGGTTATATTCTAGTAACTTTAATTACAATATAAACAAATAAAAACACCTTAAGATGTTGAAAATAAATGTAGTATTTTAACATTATTTAGTTTCGTTGAGATTGTGCAATTTACGTTTTTAATGCGATTCTGATTATCACCAAATATGTTAAGTGTTTTTTATGCGTCTTTTACTCTTTTCCCAACATCCATGTCGGACATCTCAGGTAGAGGATTAACAAGAGTGCCCAAATCAAGACTTCCTAATTTGGGCGAAATGGAGGACAGTGTCCAAATCAAACATACTACTTTCAGTACAAGTACAAAAGTGCCCAGATAATGACCGACGATCTGACAAACCAACAAAAAGTTACAAGAGTAGATGATGTCTTTAGGGATTTAGGCTTAATTACTTACGGTATCCCACAGGGTATGGTACTCGGTCTAATTCTATTTAGTTTTTATGTCGTGAGTTCATGGGAAGTATTGGGATTCGTAGATGACATTTCAATATTTGATTAAGGTAACTCATGGTTAGAATCAAAGCAAAAAGTTGAACAAGAACTTTCAAATCTGAAAAGTAAATTACTGTAGTTACAATTACATATAGTTAATATTTTACATCAATATTAGTTACGATATCGTTACCAAAAATGTTAAAGAGAAGAGGATCTAGTATAGAGCCCTGAGGAACGCCGGAAGTTTGAGAAAGTACATATGATTTGAGACCCAGATATTGAACAAATTGGAATTTTATGACTGTCATTAGCTGTACAAAAATTCCAACCTGATGAAGTTTTAATAGTAGTACACCAAGATCCATCCTATTATCTTTGTAAAGATTTTTTGTGAATTGCCCCACACAAGGACTGTGAAAAACAGAAGATATTTTTTATAGTAGATCTTTCTCTAATAAAACGATGTTGCTCAGGTATTATAACATTATGTAGCTTGAAAGAATAATGATCATGTAAAATAATCTCTAATGCTCTTGAAACGTTGCAAAAAATAGAAATAAGACTATAATTATATTTCGTCCTTGTTTTTTTTTAACAGGAAAAATACTAGAAAGCTTCCAGGTAGTTGACAACATTAAGTTAAAGATAGTGTAAAAATTTCCAAAAAATTTCAGCATAAGTAGAAAGAAAATAACCAAATCAGATCCGGTTGTTATTTTTGACTTGATTTTTCTTAGGACAGTAAAAAAAAGGATACAGTTACCAAATTTGAGCAAGAAATAACGTGTATAATCCTAAAGCGATATCATTTTCTGCGAAAATTCTGCTAAAATGATCAGCTATGTCCTAGACATTTTCTGAGCTAACACTGTTATATGACATATTGGCTGCAATTGGACATGACGCGCCTTTTTTTAGTTAATAAATGACCAAAAATTATTTGGATTTATTTTAATGTTTTTTTATAAGTTTCTTGAACAGTTTTTATGAGCAGAATCAGACAGAGACTTTACTTAAGCTCTAGGGGTACTAAATTAGATATAATTTTCAGGATTTTTACTTACTTTGTATTTTTTCCATGCTTTGGACTTGAAATTATTGTAATTGCAATTACTTACTCATTCTCGTTACTTGGAGTCAATCTACTTTTACGAATAATGTATCAATTTCTCCTTTTACAGTATTATATGATTAGTCTTTAACTTCGTAAACATTTTCTAATGTTTCCAACAGTAGCAGTGGAAAGGCCTTTTTTAAGTAGCGAAATTTGTGACTACCAATATGAAATCATACTCCATCTATGTTAATGAGATTTTTCTTACATCGTTATTGCTATTCCCTACTTTTACCTCTAAAACTAAAGTATATTTTTTATGCGAATTTCTTAGTATTTTAATGATATAAGGTATCAAGTTTCTTTTGTTAAAATCTGTTGTTATGACTACAGTTAAACAATTTGTTATCCACTACCTTTTATATAAAAGGTAGATAAGAGAATTTTTTTTTTAAATATTAGTTTTTGATTAAATTGCAATTATGTATAATAGTATAATTTAATGGTTACTAAGTGAGTTTTTTTCAACCAAGTATACATAAACGGTTCAATAGAAAATGTAGAGGTCAGCAAAAATCTAAACGTTTCATGATAATATTTAGAAAATTAATGCAGTAAACCAGTAAATGCAGTGCGATTGTAAATGCGTAATAAAATCAAAAGTTCTACAAATAAACACTCTAGTCTCGATGCAAAATGAATTCTGCATTGATTCAGCAAATGTTAATCTATTTTGATAATGTTTTGGTAAGAATTTTATAGTATTATTCGATTTTTCTATATTTGATAACTATTGATACAATATTAAAAATGTATGCAGTGTCATTTACATAACGAGTATATCCTATAACTGTGACATTTAGGTTTTGTAATCTAGGTGCTTTCAAATGGGTTCTCAGTTTTTTTTTTCTTGCTTTGGTCACTAGCTTTTTACTCAATTTTTTGAAATAAAAGGTTTATAATAAATTTCTTATTTTTTTTTTTCAGATATTCGTCTTCCTAACAACAGCAATAATTTTGATTATTGCCTACCAGTTCTGGAAAAACCGAAACCTTCCGCCTGGTCCTTGGGGATTACCAATAGTCGGTTATTTACCATGGTTGGACGCAAAAAATCCTTATTTGACTTTAACAGCTTTATCCAAAAAATATGGTAAAGTCTACGGTTTAAGCTTAGGAAGTGTCTACACGGTTGTACTGACAGATCCAAAGATTATAAAGAAAGTTTTTTCAAGAGATTCAACTGCTGGAAGAGCTCCATTATATTTAACGCATGGAATTATGAATGGATACGGTAAGTGAAAATAACATATTTTTTCTACAACCAATAAATATATCATTCTGTTAATGAAGCTTGTAATAATTTTATGATTTATTGTGTATATCCATTTACCGCAAGATACACTTTTCAGACTGGTATTCTTCAGAAGTTATTAAAAATGTTAAGAAAATTAAAAAAAATTAAAAATAACGGTACTCTGAAAGAAGATTTCTATAATCTACGAAAACTAATTAAAACTGAAATAAAAACTGCTTACGAGAAATATATTAAGACAAGAGAAGAAAAAATTTTGGTCATTTATAAAATCTAAGAGAAATGGTTTCTATTCAATCAATAACAATAGGCTGCCTCTAAACATAAGTTAATGTAATATAGTTACATATACCCTAGAAAATACTCCAATATTGTTTGATTATAAAAAAAAAATAGTATCAACCGTCTACCTAATTTCAAAGATATTGGGGTCAATTTTGACTTAAAATTTTTATTTAACTCACATATCCCTGATGTGGCTGCAGGTGCATCCAAAATGCTAGGTTTTTTTGTGAGTCATCGGCTTTAACTGCTAAGGTTATTTCGCCTCATTTTCGGTGTAGGCTTTGTTACTGTTTCCCAGTGCCACTTTAGGGATAGCACTGTTAATTAGAACCCAACTTAACCGTTTTTGTAAAAATTTCAAAAATATCGATACCATCAAACTATAATATTACACAATGAAAGAATAAAACCTCAAAATCAATTTTATTAAATTTAAATACAGGAGCGAATAGTTTCGGCCTTACAGAGTTATCTTCAGACAATTAAACTTAAATAGTTGACAGTATGTATAAAACACTATCATAAATACATATTGTAGCGTTACAGTAGTGTTAAATTAAAGATATGGAGGTGGAAAATTAGTTGGATATTGCAAACTTAACCTAGCTTAACTAAAAAAATGGGAACGGAAAAATTTTAAAATAGTGGAGGTGAGATTTAGCAATTGTGGATGAAATTTAATTTAAAATTGCTTAAGACAAAGATGTCACATATAACTGGAAAATAAACACGTAGCTCAGCCCAATATATCAAATTTTTTTTCAACCTCTTCTCGACAAGATGACGACGGATAAGAGCGTCGTACAATATGTCATTGTTAATTGCTTAATCAGGAAAATCATAAACGAAGAAATGAAATGTCAAACGTCAGTTTTCAATCCCAATCCCAATCAAAACAATGTCCGAAGTAAAAGTTATAGATTGATTGACTTTTCTATAAGGAGAATCGATCCTAATTTGTTGAGCTTATCCTCCGGTATAATTCTCACTTTGTAGAATCGCGTTAGTCATACATCTCTGTACATTTTAAAGATTATGCAAACCAAACTTGACCCCTTCCCCTGACTCATACATTCATTCCGTTTTTTAATCGATTAAAAATAGAACGCTGATTAAGGGCAAAGTATGTGTGGGGGTGGGCCGAATTATACCGGAGGATAAACTCAACAAATTAGGATTGATTCTCCTTATAGGTAAGTCAATCAATCTATAAATTTGTTTTCGCTTATCCTCCGGTATAATTCTCACTTTGTAGGCTGTTTAAAGAATGAGCGGTCTAGTTTGCCAATTATAATATTTATTTAAACACAATTTAAATCTAACCATTAATCTAAACAACAACAATCAATAACAACAATCAATAACAACAATCAATAACAATAATCAATAACAACAATCAATAACAATAATCAATAACAATAATCAATAACAACAATCAATAACAACAAAAAAGGTTTAAATATGGTTAACAAATAAATCAACAACAAAAAATAAATTTTTTCTACGACCGTGTATTTTTACCCACTTTCCCGCACGCATTTTAGTTTTGAAAGTGTCACTTTCCCGCACTAGTGCGGGAAAGTAAAATTATGAATATTTGGCCTTACCTATTGTATAGTTTTTTTACCTCGGATGTTATAACTATTGTTACAATAGGTAATTTAGTATTTTCCAACTATTCCATTTAATAAAATTTACTTTTTTCTTGCTTTTTGTTATCATTTTAATTTTTTGGAAAACTTGAATAATAGAGATATTTTTATATACCTTCTGTATATTTTTAAAAGTCAGACTAGGCTGTGACATGTATGGCTTGATATGGTTGCTATATGGTAACCAAGGCGTGTTATTGTTACAAAAACGTCAAAGTTGTTTGTTGAAGCGTCAACTGAATTAAAATAAATTAAAGAAATAATGGATTCATCGGATGAAGAGCTGCTCGAAGCCATTTTAAAAGCTGCAAATGAAGCAAATTTGGAGGTGTTACCTGCCAAATCACGAGGAAGATATGAAAAACAATACGACCATTTTGTCACATGGTGTAAACAGGAAGGGGTAAAAACCTACAAAGAAGAGGTGTTTCTGGCGTATTTTTCACACCTAAGTAAGTTTTTTAAATCTAATACTTTATGGTCTCGCTATTCGATGGTGAAAAGTTTAGTAAAAATAAAACAAAATTTGGATATAAGCCAGTTCCATAAGTTAACGTCATTTCTAAAACAAAAAAATGTTGGTTTTCGAGCACAGAAGGCGCAGGTTTTTACCAAAGAAGATATATCCAGGTTTATGTTAGCCCCTGATGAGGTATACCTTATGATTCAAGTGAGTACCATTTTTGCTTTAGCTGGTGCTCTCTGCAGAGCGGAGCTTGTAAATATCACTCTCGATGATATACAAGATAAAAGCAATCTGATAGTTGTGAAAATTTCCGATTCCAAAAATCATTCTTCAAGATCATTTGTTTTATGTGAAGAAATAAAAAATGGAAACTTTCTGAAGCTGTACAGAAAGTACGCAGGTTTACGACCACCTACCACTCCGCATCGCCGCTTTTTTATTAATTATAAGAATGGAAAATGCTCAATTCAGTGCGTTGGCGTAAACACCCTTGGTAAGATGCCAACAGAGATTGCTGCATATTTGCGTCTACCTAATCCTGAACGATATACAGGACACAGTTTTAGACGTTCTTCAGCAACATTCCTAGCAGACTCAGGTGAGGCGATAACCAATATAAAACGTCTCGGTGGCTGGAAGTGCACTACTATCGCTGAAGGCTATTTGGAGGACTCCGAAACACAGAAGAAAAACATTTCGAATAAAATTCTTTCAAATAGAAATGACTTGCAACCTTTGCTGCCACCGTCATTTTCACCTTCATGCGACCTGCAACCGATGTCACTCCCGTCCACGTCATCTTTTCAATCTACGAGCGTTACGACTATTAACAGCCAATTAACACCAACTAATTCCTCTGTACCGGCAATTTTACATAATTTACAAAATGCTACAAATTGTGTATTTAACATTAATATCCATAATAATTAGTTGTTTTTATTTAAAGATTTGTATATGTTGAAATAAAATAATTCTACAAAAATAATTTTTCCTACTTTTTTGTATATACGGTCGTAGAAAAAATAATGTTCCTAACTCATGCGTAAAGTGTCTTTCCCGCACTTGACCGCTTGCCCGAACTCCGCTTCGCGTCGTTCGGGCCAACTGCAGTCGCGTGCGGGAAAGTAACACTTTCCGCACTTGTTAGGAAAATAACTGTACTATTGAAAAATCAATCAAATTGAAAACATTATATTACATATTATAGAAACAAGAAATAATAATCAACATATAATACTTTTAATAAATTCTGTTTTAACTGAGCACAGTGGTCTATTATAAAAGGTAGCAAACACTCTTGAAGACTGACCATCCTGCAGTACCTATTCTTTATTGCATCAATACTAACCCCAGAACGCAAAGCTGCGAATGAAGATGTATGACAAGTGCTACGTGCTGAAAATTTTTCGACATTTATACCACAATCTTTAAGCATTGTTTTTATCCACTTGCTTACTGTTTGTGAAGATGCAGGATGGTGCGGTTTTTTAAAAGTTAAAAACACTTGTGAATATGATTTAGAACGTAAAGGTTTAGTTCTGTTTGTGTAATATTTTAGTGTTAAAGCCACACAACTGCGGTTTCTCGTTAAAATACGGAAATATACAAAAGGGTTGGCGCTTATTTAGTCCAGATGTTTTAAGTCTGTCAGGAATCCTTATTTCTAAATTACATTCTGAAAAAATTATATTTTCTAAAGATATTTTTGTAATTGTTTGGACTCTATGCGCCGTGGTTAAAGCCAAGAGCGTTACTACTTTTTTGGTTAACTGTTCCAGATTTAAGTCTTCCAAAGGGTACAATAGACCTAATTTTTCCAGCACATGTTGAGGGTCCCAGATATCATTATATTTTGATCTTGTAGGATTAAGTTTATACATACCTTTTAGAAAAAGTTTTAATATTTTTTCATCAGCCGCATTGATTTCAAATAAAAGTACAAGCGTCGATTTATGAGTATTTATTGCAGAATATGTTAATTTCTGGGCCAGTAACTCTGTTAAATATTCAATAATAAAATTTAAGTTATACTCTACTGAATTAGAACCACTCTCAATACAAAATTTCCACCACCTAGCATAACATAACTTCCAACGACGTTCTTGGCTTCTCTGATTGGGGCATCCAAAATGTTTTCGTGATTGATGTTGGACTAAGTTGAGTCAAACTAATATGAAAATTTTGAAGTTACTAACCATCAGTCAATAAAAGAGATACACGTTTTTTGCAAGAAACAAAAAAGCTACTTTTTATCCACAACGAAACGCCTATGCTATATCGTAATTATCGTTCGCATTGGCATATAATATAATCATCATACTCGTTTCGCATGCCGATGGCCGGCGGCTAAATTTTCGTTCAAACGGACTCTTGAACCATTTTGACAATGGGAATTGGACAAAGCGTTCGCAGTTGCGTGAGGAAGAAGAGACAAATGCGTACTCAATAGTACCATCGGTAAACCTGAAATGACTGGCGTCGGATACTGGCACACTGACCTACTGTAAGTACGCCCAAAAAAAAACAGTCACCAAAATTATGTTCGGCAGTTAGACCAAGCGCTGTTGCCAACTAAT